TAGAGACCAGGGAACGACCCCCCCACCCCACCCCGCCTCTGATAAAGCACCAGAGCAGACCCTCCTCCCTTCCCAACAGCTGTGGGGCACCACACATGATTTCCCTCCATCAGGCTCAGAAGAGAACCCACGGGATCTCCAGAAGTGCCACAGATCCGGAGCAGGAGCCGTGGCCCTCGATCCCAGAGGCTCTGCAGCCCCACAGAATAATCACCTACCTCTGGAGGCCCTGATGGACTTAATTCCCTATTGGATCAGGAGAAATGCCCTCAGTCCCTGAAGCGTGGGGGTGGGGAGAAGGCCAGATGCGCTGGTCCCCCTTTCTGGGGTCCTGGCAGCGCCCTAAACTCTCGACTGCCAGATAAAGAGCCTCAACAATTCTCCCACATAGGAACTGTCCCCACACTGAAGTCCTTTGCATGAGGCCTTGCAAGAAAAAGGGGAAAGATGCTGCAGGGGACTGTGAATTCCACAAGCAGCCCCCGTCTCCACAAGGCTGGTACATGCCAGGGTAAGGAGGAACTAATAATAGTAACCGTAATGTCATCAACAGTATGGTTGTAACACATCTGGCTCTAAACTGTTGATTGCAACGGAAGCCTATTTCATCTGTAGCAATCAGAGATGGGAAGAATCTGGTGGGAATTTTTCCAGAAGCGAATGAGATACAGATGATAGATTAGAGGGGGGAAAAATCAGTGGGGATCATTATAGGGGATTATTCCCTAGATATGAGAGCATGGATTCAAATCTCACGGAAGAAAACTTCTCCAGTTATATCAAAGAGCGTCTGGGGGACTGAAATTTTGCTAGACAGATAAGCCTGATAAATGATGTGTTGGGTTTTTGTGAGCGTCTTTTAGGCTTACTGGAAGAATCCTCTTTACCGTCTTGCAGCGTGCAGGCTTGCTTCCAAACCGACATAAGAAGGAAGGAAATGATCTGAGCTCTGAAGAACACCTGAGGCCAAAGAATCAAGGGATTGTCACATCGCCACCAGCCTGAACAGTGCCCTGCTAGGTAAGAAACCCGCTCGTTTTGTGTACCTTGTGTGGCTTCCAGGGCACTTTTGTACAAACGTTTTGCTGTATGGAGAGCTTGAAAAAGAAAGCAGGCCCTGGGTTGGACGCAAGAGGCCCCTCCTGATCACGGAAGCCGAGGCTGGTGGGGCCTGGCCAGAAACACCAAGTTGTGCGTTGCTCCTCTCGGCCCAGAAGAAGTTTCTTGGCACAGGAGGATTCTAAGCTCCACCTTATGGCCTCATTGTCCCCTTGGAAGGATCTTTGACCAAATGCATCAGCAGGTTTCCAGTAATTTCCCTGCAAGGAGTGTCACCCCGTTGGGCAAACAGCTGTGTTAGAAGACCTTCCTGGGCCTGTGGATTTCCACGGTGAGAAGGTACTGTCTTGGTTTGTTTCTTTGGGGTTGTGGGAATGAAACCATGGCGAAGGGAAACCGTGGAGTGGCACCGAGTGAAATGCACCTGCATGCTTGCAGAAAATAGGTTTCACTTTTCCGGGTTTTCAGAGATTTAACAGAGGTCGAAATCGGCATGAGGGAAGATTGTTCAGAACAGACAAAGCTTTTCTGCTGCGATTGGCGAAGTCTGGCTTTTGTCCAAGACAGGCTCCGCGGTGCCTATGGTTTCAGGCCCCCTGCGTCCGTTGTAAATCATTATGGAAAGAGCGTGTGTTGAAGGTGGAGGGAAAAACTGCAGCGGGTGGTCCTCTTCACCCTGAAAGCTTAGGGCCGGAACGCGCAACCTGTTGTGTCTTGGGGAATTGTCCCACCCACGCTTCTCCTGCCCGGCCTGGACATGGTTGGGTGGGGCTGACAGGTTTTCAGGCATTGGGGGGCCGGGGAAGTCCAAGGGGCAAAGTCAGCATGGTAAGATGTTGGAATAAAATGCTTGCTTATCAGAAACTTGATTCAGGCTTCTGCAGTGTGGCCAGGCCAGTGGCCGACACACGAACCAGAAAC